ATAAGTCATTATAATCCGTAATTATGTCCCCACTGGATGCAACAAATGCCTCATTTGTAATGGGTTTTATTGGTTTTGTCTCGTCGCTCCGGCTGGGACATGGCATCACAATATGGTAAGGGGCGTAACATTTCCATCACATGCTTGAGGTATTCGGCCAATCACAACGCACTGGATAGCTGGCCAATCAGAGCACACCTCGCTTTTCAGACCGATGAGCTTTGTAAAAGTCAACACGTTTCAGAAAGGCGGGGCATAGAGGAGAAACAATAATGTACAGTATGTGGAAAATAATGTGTTTTTTAAACCTTAAACCGCATAAACCCACTTCATTACACCAAATACACAAAATAATGTTCTTTTTAGCAACATCATATGACCCCTTTAAATAGATGGTTAAATAGACACCAAATGATACAGAATGAGATAAATTATTAATTGAACGGGCTTCTGTGATGGTCTGCTATGATAAAGATGTTTTGCATGAGGGACAAGGTGTTTTGTTGGTGCCTCTCTTTAAATATAAATGTCTGTAATCTAGTAGACAAATATGTCTGCTATTCATTTCAGACTATATTTATGAGCCTCACGGCACAGAACAAAGATAAATATTAATCATGTTCTGCAATGGTAGATACGGGGATGAACAATTTGGAAATCACAGACAGACTAGTTGTTTGGTTCAAGCTTCTTAACGTGTCTTTGTATGCCTGTTTATTCAAACTAGATCAAAGCTGACAAAGCCTATTTTTCTAGTTTAAGCGCTTTTGTGTGTTTCCACTGATGTACTGTATAGTAGATCTGGCCATTTCTAAAGAAGTTATTGTTATTGAGGTTCACAATGCTGCTGTTCAGACAGGCAGCTGTTTATTATCCCAGTGAATGAAAAATAATACAATTAGATTAGATTATACATGTTGAATTCTACCACTATTACTGTCTTTATTTGTCATAACATTTGAAAAGTGCTGTTTTTTAATTATTGTTAATGTAATACTTTTTTGTGACATTTGATTAAATAAATAATTTTTACTGAAAGTTACATTTTTATTATTCTTAATTTGTGCCGTAATGGAAGGCTGCTTCTATCGTGGAATTTAAAAAAGGGAAAAAAGTAATTGCGACTTCATCTCGCAGTTCTCACAATTCTGAGATTACGTCGCAATTCTGACTTTTTTCTTTAAATTGTGAGTTTGTATCTCACAATTCAGACTTCTTTCTCTCAATTGCGAGTTGAAATCTCGCAATTCATTTTTTCTTTCTCTGAATTGCGAGTTATTTTTAAGTAAAAACTGTAATTGCAACTTTTTATCTTGCAATTCAGAAATTTTTTCTCAGAATTACACATTCATATCTCACAATTCTGCATTTATATCTTGCAGCTCTCAGAATTCAGAAGTCAAAATTGTGAGATATAAACTAACAAAGTTAAAATTAGCTTCTTTTTTATCCAATGGCTAAAACAATCTTCCATAGCAGTAATTTCTCATTTCAGTTCTTGCTGTGTGAACATGTTTGGTGTGAAGAAAAAAATCATTCTTTAACCCTTATAATGTATACCTTGGGTCTTTAGCGCCCTGGGACATCATTCTCTACCCTCTCCCTCCTTCATTTTTTAAAGTTAGACATCAACTTTCTTAGTATTCCTCAATCTATTCATTATAAACAATATAACAAGAAAAAAATAGTAAAATATAAAATAATGCCTGTTTTCTGATTCATTTTTTTTGTAAAAAGTGTATAGGGTCGCTAGAGACCTGAGGTATGTGTGTAAGTATTTTTTCCTCAATTTGTGCAATGCATCTTTTTCCTCAAGGTGGCACTGTTTGATACAAAATGATGACGTGACGTTTCACTCATAATTACGGCAGGCATAAAACAAACGAATATCATCAGCAAAAATTGAAGTGGTTTGAATGGCTTTACTGCAGAGCAATTACTATACGCAATGAAATATAAATGTCACTGTCATTTGATGCTGGATGTGATGAATAAGCTGCCAGTGATCAAAATATTGAATATGAAGTCACTGAAAACGACAGTTTTGAGAATATAGTTGAAATCGTGAATATGAGACAGATGCTGAATATACTGTGGAAGTGCGCTCTGACAACGATATATGCTTCATTTTATTCTTTTGTAATTGTTCTTAAAATATCAAGAGAGTTTTTTGCTATTGCAGCAGTTAGAGATCCATCCGTGCTGGATATATAGGTCCGGATCGCTAAAGACCCGATTCGGGATGTAATGATTACCGGTTTGACGATGAATCACGATAAAATTCCCCACGGTTAGTATTACCGTTTCATCTTTTAATTATCATAAAAAATGTATTAGATTACCGCGATTGTAACAACTCGAGATAAATAAATACTGTCCAGCATAAAGCACAGTTTTAAAAGGGTCCTATTATGCTTTTTCACTTTTTCAACTTTAGTTAGTCTGTAATGTTGCTGTTTGAGCATAAAAAATATC